CATGCTTCAACCCTAAACCCTAAACCCAAAACCCGAAACCCTAAACCCTAAACCCTAAAACCCTAAACCCTAAACCCTAAAGCCTCAAACTGGCAACTCTGCTTAAGGAGCTCTTCGATGTGACGCCTAAGTCCATGTGACTTGGCAGCTTGTTACTTGGAGGGTCAGGGGGACTTAGTAAGTAGGTTAATAAGCCGTATGAATAACCCATATAGTAAGCCTAAATGTCCCCTGTACTAATCTACTTGCTAAGCCCCCCTGACCCTCTAAGTAGGGTTCAGGGTTTGGGGTTAGGGGTGTTTGGGTTCAGATTTCCGGGTTTGTGAACTCAGGATCAACACTCTTGGGTCCTTGATGTAGGGTATATGGATCCCTAGACCCTTAACCCGAAGACCCTAAAACCCTAAATCCTAGACTCTAAAACCCTCAAACCCTAAATCCTAGACCCTCAAACCCTAGCACCCTAAAGCCCTAAAACCCTAAAATCCTACACCCTAAAACCATAAACCCCGAACCCCTACACCCATTCAGCTGAGGAAGGAATCTTTGGCCTCCCGGGTGGCGTTGAAGAGCACAAAACCTCCCGATGGGCAACCAGTGGAGGAGGAGGTGGGCTAGGGCCTTGGGTAGGGATTAGTACGGAATGTGGGATTTTTTTGCATTGGGTTTGTGTGGGGATTCTACTCCCTGATTCCCTACTAAGAACCAGTAAGTTTATGGAGCCAGGATTTCAGGCATGTTTTGGGTGTTCTTCTGTAAAGATTAAGTGGTATTTAGGGTTGTATGCTTCGAAGGCAAGGGTGATGAGAATTCTGCTGCGGAAGTTCTCTGTGCCCGGGTGGCCAGTTGATTTTTATTTTCTTCTCCATCATGAATAGCATTTCCCCTTATCACCCTTGTATTACGGCAGTAGAAAGTACAACCCTAGACCCTATCCTACACCCCATATATCCCTGAACCCTTACCCTATATATTGGTTCGCCCTAAAGCCGGTAAACTTCTCTGTCACAAAGCAACCCGCGCAGGTGGAGCCAGAGAAAGAGGCAGGCTGTTTCAATCTCTACCGGGTCTATAGTCCCCCTTAAGTAGATAGAATATGGGGTTTAGGGTTTAGGGTTATAGTCCCCCTTAAGTAGATAGAATATGGGGTGTATGGGGATCTTATGGATCTTATTATGATATACCCAAAGCCATAGTCTATCTACTTAAGGGGGTCTATAACCTTTGGGTCTTCGGGGCTACGGGAGTTGTCAACATTTCAAGGATCCTCAACATGTTGCCCTTGCTGCCGGGGGTCTGGATTTTGAGGATGTTGCGCTCTTTCGCCGCTCTCGCAGCTTTGCCCCTGGTGGATAGAACTATATGAGGGGCTATCTCCAAAAACTCCCCCCCAAGCATGCCTCCATAACAGCTTTTTATATTTTCTCCCCCACCTGGAACAGAGGGCCCTAAACCCCTAAACCCTAAACCCTAAACCCTAAACCCCTAAACCCCTAAACCCCTAAACCCCTAAACCCCAAACCCTAGGGCCTTGCTGTGGCCAGGAAGTCATGGTGGACGACCTACCATGAGCGTGCCTGACTGTCTGTTCCCCTGAACCTTGAGTGGTACTCATAGTGTAGGGTTTAGGGTTTAAGGGTTTAGGGTTTAGGGTTTAGGGTTTAGGGTGGAAGGAGTCTTGCAACACCTTAGATGCCCTAGAGCGCAACACTTACAGTTATCTTCGGGATCTTACAGTAAGTGGCACCAAGATTTTGTTGATGTGATGCATTTTGGGTGACCCTAAAGACCTCACACATTGAAAATGATGGGATATGGGGTTCTAGAACATTAGGGTCATGTAGGATTTGTAGTGCCGCTTGTAGTGAAGGTGCGTCATCGCAGAAGCAGCGAATTAAGTAGATCAATGAAGGGGATGGGAAACAATCAGGTAGTTATGCAAGAGGTTGATCTCAAATGTTGATGCCATAAGGACAAACATAACCAGGATTGTGTAGACATGGTCCGCAAGGTTTTGTGCCCTTGCACTTTGCGGAAGGCTTTCGCCATCGAGTTTTGTGAAGCTTCAACAATGTCGTAGTTAGGAGGGCTCTCTCGGTGTTTCCTGTCTTGGAGACTTTGTAACATTTCTCTGCGGGAAAAAGCTACCTTCTTGGACCATGCAGCCCGACTGATGGACTGCTGGTGTTCGAGGGAGCCCAAGCGAGCATCCATTTGAACGCATCGCGCTGCTTCGTGTCAACTAGTCCAAACTCCTGAACGGCTGGATGTATGGGGGATTGTATTGGGGACCGTTATGGGGCTTATTAAGAGGGATACAAGGAGTTCAGACTATAGCTCATGTTGCTCCTCGCGCGCACAGGCGCAAGTAGACGTGGTGTAGGCGCAGCATGGCTCTGCGCAAAAGCTGAAAATGGGTCTGTGCCAAGCCTCTGTGAGAGTTTGTCAAAAAATATCGCTGTATGACCTTCAAGTGGGAACCCCCATACCCTAAACCCTAAACCACATTTTCCTAGGGTTCCTCAATTTGAGACGCCATGTCGAGCTTACGAGACGGGCATGGGGAACTTCAAATCTCGGCGCAGACCCAAATCCGAAATTGTGCTCAGCATGGAGGCAACAGAATCCTGGGTTTTGACCGGAAAAGGAATGCTGCGGAGAGTTTGTTCCTTTTCTTTTGCGGCCGATGAGTTTCTAGGATAATTTTTCAGAAGCTCCCCTGTATTTCTCTGTTACATTTCTCTTCGGGCTGGAGTACGGAGGGAATTAACTATTCGTAGGAACAAGCCTTTTTTTGAGCCTGCAAAGGATTGCGTAGAAGCCAAGGCTTCAGGGTTCAGGGGATAAACAGGGTAGCTTCCCCAAATAGGGGGACACAAATGTAGACCCCAAATATTAAAGCCCTTATTATGGACCCCCAAAAGGGATCCACTACTTTTGGGAAACCCCCACATATAGGTATGGAGTTTTGTGTCTAGGATTTAGGGCATTTGTATTATTGCTGTTACAGGCTTTACGGGGCTCCTGACATGTTCCCTCAGCAACTTAAACCCCAAACCCCAAACCCTAAATCCTGAGCCCTAAACCCTAAACCCTAGACCCTATTTAGCATTATAGGGTTCAGGCTTCTTATTACAGAGTGGGAGAGGACCCAACAGACAGCGATTTGCTGGCTATGTTGCTCTGATTCTTGGCAGGTGACCCTGGTGGAGCAAGATCATGAGTGGGGAGGTGGCGGTGATCTGCCGGGCACCTGTTTAAGTTGGGATTTTGCACAGGTGCATGATGAGGTTGTAAACCCTAAAAACACCCTCGGCCCAAACCACTAAACACCGGAACTTTTTTTGAAGTCCCGGCAGAAGGGGCCCCGAATTCCAATTACTCACGGTGCATGGACAACTTAGTTGGAAGATCCCCACATTCTCCCCATAAGTTCCATACATGATTCAGTCCGTCAACTGTAGCAGCCGGACGATCTGCGACCGGAATTCTTGTCGGAGTTTGTCTCAAGGCTAGCAACACACATCAGAAAATTTACTCCTTGCTACTGGTCAGGGGATGAGGGTGACAGATTACTGGGATCCCGACGGGTGTTTGGATCTACCCCTAAAACCTAAACACTGAACCCTAAACACTATGGAGATGTCGTAGTGCTCCGTCCGAGCTAAGCCCTCACATAAGCCAGGAATTTGAATTGGGTGAGATAAATCTGAAAGATGCATCTCAAAAGCAATTCCCAGCTAACGGTATAATCCTTGTAGATCTACTTGAAGACCACTGGTGCCATCACCACTTTGCCTCAATAGAATAGATTTCATTCATTCAATGTTATGCTTTGCTGATTGTTCTTGTTCTCGTTTCTCTTGTTATGACGAAAAGTTTCAGCATGCCCGAACATAATATAGGGATTATATAGGGATTCTAGGGTTATAAAGGAGTTATATTGGGGTTATATTGGGATAATGGAAAAGAAAATGGAAACTACTGTAGGGATCCCCAAGCCCATGAGTCAGGGTTCCAAAGGTCCTCCTCGTCCTCTGATTCATCGACTCCGCCGCGGCTGCGTGCGCGAGGCCCTCTGCATGTCCAGGTAGCGCGAATCAGCACAACATGGGCCATAATCTAAACTCCGAAAAGGGGGTCATATAGGGGACTATATAGGGGACTACTATAGGGGATATTAAGGGGGATACTAGGAGTTTAGACTATAGCTCACATGGTAACAGAAATTTCCGGTCACTATACTAATGGCAAATTTGTCACCAGAGCTTTGCATTAATGATGAGCACAGCATGAGTACCAATTGCCATCATAACCGTACCTGCAACCACACCAATACGCGCAACAAGTACTAGTGCGCTGTCATGTAAAGATTCCTACTGAGGTTTTTTGGGATTCAAGTTTCCGGGGTTGAAGGGCGCTGGGAACTGTAGAGTTATGGACGGTGTCTTTTAAACTGATGCCCTCATGCTAGGAGTAATGTCGACATGTTCTCCAAAAGCACGCTGCCAGACATGGACAAGGGAAGGCATTTGTGTGGGACAGGGCATGACTCGGCGCTCGTCCGGCTCGACAGCTGTACAACATGGCCAGCAAGCATTCGGATTTACGTACATCTTCCGACCCGTGCTATTTGTTCGTGACCGTCTAGTGCTGCACCACCAGTACCGAGGACTTCTGGGTATAGGAGCGGCTGCCTTCAACTCGGCTGAAAGCATAGCATGAGACGAAGAAGTAAGGCACCGATCAGACTGAGATGAGGAGTTTCACTTTGGGCCCGGTAGGCCATTGGTTGCAGCTGTGTGAACAATGCGTGCTTAAGCAAGCTGTCCCGCACAGACCTGAACAGTCACATGTAATTGTTCATTATCAGCTCCTTACGTCATGTTAACATACTATACTTGAACAACGCATGAACACCCCACTCTAATTACTCAGGCTGCTAGATTCCCGCAGAAGCCTGGTGACGGTCCGCCTGGACGCCTGCTGACGTCTGAGCCATGCCGTGGGGCGGTGGCGGTGGAAGCAAGACCGTCGGGGTCAAGGGTTTAGGTTTCAGGTTCCGGGCTTACATGGGGTCAGGGTTTCAAGATTTAGGGTTTAGGGTTTTTGGTCGGACTATTCGTGGTTTTCTGACAATGCAGTATTTACTGTGGGAGACCGCAAGTCATAAGCCGGTTATAGGGCTTAGGACCGGCCCAAGGGTTTAGGGATTGGGGGTTGGGGTTTAGGATTAGGGTTTAGGGATTAGGGGTCTAGGTCTTAGGGTTTAGGCTTAGATAATTGTTGCACCAGTAAGAAGGTGTTGGTGACGTAGGAATTGGAAGGTCTGTGCTTAGCTAAACCCTAAAACCTTACACCCCAAACCCTAAACACCCTGAACACCAAAAACTCAAACCCCTAAAACCCCAAACCCTAAACACCCTAAACACCCTAAACACCAAAAACTCAAACCCCCTAAAGCCCTAAACCCCAAACCCTAAACACCCTAAACACCAAAAAACTCTAAACCACCAAAGCCCTAAACCCCAAACCCTAAACCCTAAACACCCTAAACACCAAAAAACTCTAAACCCCTAAAACCCTAAACCCCAAACCCTAAACACCCTAAACACCAAAAACTTTAAACCACCAAAACCATAAAATACCCTAAACCCCAGAATTTTTGTTCTCCACGGGTCCTTGCTCCGGGAGTGGCAGGCATCTTGTGGGAGCCTGGAAAATCTATTGAATCGGTCTTTGGGTTAGGGATTTAGGGATTTAGGGTTTAGGGTTTAGGGTGTTAGGGGTTTAGGGTTTAGGGTTTTAGGGTTTTAGGGTTTAGGGTTTAGGGTTTAGGGTGTGTATGTATAGATATGGACACAGATATGGTAGTTCCATGAATGGGGGACACCCCAATATGGATAATCCTTATCATGGGGGCCCCCGAAATGGGAACCCTCATTTTTCGAAACCTTAATGCCTATAGAGCATTCTATAACCCTGTTTCCATTTCATTTTCAGTTCTCTTTTGCATTTGATTCTCAATTCTTCCATATACCCTTATATAACCCCAATATACTCGTTTCTACATGAAGGGCCCTAGCTCTTTCTTGCAGGAAGTTTCGAACTTTTAAGGTTTTGGGGTTGAAGGTTTAGAGTTGCTACTTTGTGGATTTACCTGGGCCATGCGCAATCAAGACGCAGCGCATTTGGAGAAAGACATACTTGAGCCCCGCATCTGACAAATGGGGTTTCCATAAATAGCGCGGTTTAGGGTTAAGTTTGGGTACTGCCCCCCCTCAGTAACAGTTGGATAACAATTATACTATGGTTATATATAGCCCTTAATAGGTCCCCCAATATAGACTGTACTGGGGGGCAGTACCCAAGGTTGAGTGTTAGGGCTCCAACATTGACCCCGATCACTGCCATAGGCCCCCCAATAGGGATCATATTAGGGTTATATAGGGTTTAGGGTTTAGGGTTATATAGGGGTTATATAGGGATAATGGAAAAGAAAATGGAAACTACCATTTAGGGTTTAGGGTTTAGGGTCCCCTGATTAATAAGCCCCCCTCCTACTTTTCTGGGAACCCCCAAATCCATTTTGCGAGCAGGAACACGCTTGGGGGAAACCCTGGGCGCATCAGCAGGCTGGAATGGATGGCACTCAAATTGGGTGGTTTGTTGTCTTTATACTTGGTTAGATTTTTTGGGGGTAGGTCATTATGATTGTTATGGCGATTGTTGTGCATCTCAGATGAATATGTGCTGTCACGCGTCTGGTCTCATGGCAGAATCAGGGTGAAATGTCGTACCTAGGTGAAGCTGAAAGAGCATGTCGGCAACTGCGTCCATCATTGTCTTTGGCGTACTTGCGGGCGATCTTACCGGCTTTCGAGAGATGTTGACCAGTTTTAGGTTAGCTTAAGACTGAAAAATCACATTTTTGTGGTGACGACCATGTCCCGTCATGTCCGATGCTCATCATCACTACTGGCAGCGGCAGCTGGTGGTGTTGCTGACACCCCCCTGACACGGCTGCAGCAGCAGCTGCTGCTGCTATTACGCTATGACTAACTGCTGCTACGACACCACTACTGCTACTGCTACTGCTGCTGCTGCTGCTACTGCTACTCCCACTGCTACTACAACGATAATTACTTCTACTACTACTACTACTA